AAGTTTGTGTCACCAGTAAATACTTATGTTTTGCATAAAAATCAAGTCATTGGTTTACACCTTAAAAGAAGATTTATTAGTCTTCTCTTTCAATATAAACGAACTAGCACCACATAACTTTCTCCAAGTGATCACTCAGCTGCTGCTAGGAAATGATTACATCTCCAGGTTTATGTTCCCGAGTATGGCATTAACATTTTTAATTTATAGTATGTAAACATTTGCCATTGTTAAAATCAGGTTTACTTTATCCTATGAAACTGTTTGCAATGCACAAAAATGCTAAGGAACTGAAAACTAATCTGTATCAAAATGTGTCGTTTTTATTCAAAAAGAAAATATTTGTGACTGCACTGAAATGCTCTCCAATATGCCCAGGCCTACCCCCACCTAACTGAATGTGTGACTTGACTTTACCACAGGACATGCTGGGTCTATATCCAGTTGCTACAATTTTGGTGGAGACAAAGGCATTACAGTTTGCTCCTACGAAGAAACCAATTCCACCCGTTTAGGGTCCTGAAAGTCATTTCATACTAGCACCAATTTGCCCAACTTCTCCAAGAAGATGCAGTAATTGCCACTACTATGCCCCATGGTCTTCAATTTAGTCTACTAGTACAGATGAAAGTATGAATGGCTCAGCCAGCAGACGGTGCTATTTAAGCTGTGACAAATACTAAAACCATTTAACTGTTTATATAACTTTGTTCTATCCATCACTACTACAGCTGCCATATCATGAACACTTGCATTCTGAATGACAAGCATTTTACCATGCAGTTAATTTCACCTCTTGTTCCTTTAAGGATACCGACCTTTGGGACAGAGCAGCCAGTTGTAGGTCTTGGTCACCTCAGTTCCCTCAGCCTGAGAGAAGATGTATAAATAAATATGTATAGACACCTAGAGTCAATAGGTTACCTGTCATAGCATTGAAGGCACCAACCTTTACAATGAGTGATTTTGTGACTACATCAACGTGACCTCTGTCAGGCACGCTCACAATTTTGTTACCACATGAACCACGGGACGCCTCAGCGGTAACAGTCACATTGACAGTCCCTAAGGAACATCAGATTATCCAGAATGTGTCAAAACATTCAGTGAAGCTCACCGTTTCATAGGATAGAACAGCAGTTCATCCGCTTTTAGTTTACACTGGTGTGAATCAGAGTTAGACCTCACCCAAAACAGATTGGGTCATGGTCCAGCTGAAGGTTTTAAGTTCACTACCACACAGACAGGCTCTGTACTGGTCACCAGAAAAGGGGGTGAGGGTGTAATCCAAAGAGGATTCTGGAGTCGCAGTGACCTGTTTGCATTCGACTATATTGTCTCAAACAACTGCAGCCTGTTGTGCGGCCATATAAACTGAAGTTTGTGGCAGTCATGTGCCACCTGACCATGTTAATATTGTCTGAAGTGTGCATGCAAGAAGAGTAGATCTGAATTCTTAGTATGGAAAAATGTACATTAGTATACAGGTTGATCAACAAGATTTCATAGTATTGAAGAAATGGACATACTGTATGCCATGCAGTTGGCATTTGACAGAAATATATGCATGTTCAGCATGCCATTTTGGACACACCCACAAAGTCAACATTTAGGTCCAGTAGAAACATTTACCATGATGCAGTTGGTCAGGTAGTTGAAGACTGTTGCCTTCAGTTTGAAGCGCTCCCTCCGGATGACAAAGAGAAGGGGGGGGGGGGAGCCTAGATTGACTACAGTAACAGTTGATTTAAGAGCCACCCTACTGTAAAAGCAGAACATCTCAATCATCAAGTGTATTTTATTAAAATGTAAGAATTTCTGCTTGTGCTGTCAGGGCACAATAATGATTTAATCTTTAATTGGCAGCCCACCTGACTTCTACCAGGTCCCATAACCAAGTCTCAGGGAAGAAGGTGCAGATTGTCACTACTGATGGAGCTGGAGCATTACTTGGTACGGGAGCTGCCACTCCAGGAACAAAATCATGAGCAACTTCGGACTTCAGGGGTAACATAACTGAAATCAGAAAGCATTCAGATGTTGGGACAGCTATGACAGTGAAATGTGTACATGCTGTTCAAAGAAACTCAAAGTGGTCTTTGTAATATTCTCTTCCTTTGAACTTGAAACATGGGAGGCATTTGAATAAACAAGTTTGTTGCCATCTTCAGTCCAACATTCTAGAGACAATATCACTTGAAGTTCATGACATGTACAATATTTATTCTTCATCTTGTACATTAAATGTTGAGTACCTGGAAAACTGTGTAAGGGTCGATATTGTTACCAGTCCCAGGATATGGTGGCAAAATTAATCTTTTGGCTCTCAGTCAAACATTCTGTAGGATCTTGAACCTCATATGGAATATAGGATACACTGGTCACAGGCAGCAACTTGAATATCTGAAACCAAAAAACAGTTAGTTTCAGTTCATTTGGCAAGTCTTTGGAAGACAGGTCTAGTCTTTTGTCTTCAAACATCTCCAATTATCAAAACAATGCCTTTATCCATAAATAGATTCACACATCTTTGATTGCAGCAGGTACCTTGTCTGCAACCAGACCTATCCCTGGCTCCTTAATGAAAACACTCTTGTCGACAATGCTCACACCACAAAGGGACCCCGGCACAGCCGTCACTTGCATGGTGACATCCTCTTGTGGGACAGCTGAGGATGGTGTAAACTTCAGTGACACCTGAAGGAATAAAGGACATTGCACTCTTTAATGTATGAGATAAACATGACCAGCCTCACACTGAAGGCCATATAAATATTGGTTAAGGTGCCACCGAGATGCTCAATTTTTAGTTTTAATAGGCATGTCAGGGACCAAGCAGTAAGGCATAAAGACACAGCTTCCAAAGTTCAAAATAAAGGGTTTTTATTAACCCAAAAGCAAGAAAAATACAAAATTAACATCAGATAAATTGGGCCCTAAAAGAGGTCAACAAAAGATAAGGAAACTCAAAATACAGCAAACTGAACTGTCTAATACCTCAACAAAACCAACTGACCTTGCAAATGACACACACAGGGGAACATATGTACTGGCTGGCCAAACCAATAACACACAAGGGATAAACTAAAGACACTACCAAAATGATCAACTAATAAACCCTAAACAGACAGTCCGATCTCAACTAAATATTTCCTTTAAATATAAAGAAATTAACATAACTTGACAAATAAAGTTCTAACATAAACTACCAACAAATAAACAATAAATTTCTCCCAAACTCCCCCCTTTTATATATTGGGCTGAACCGCCCTCCCATCCAATGACCAGGAAACATGGTAACTCAAAAGAAAAAGGTAAACATTAACAATACAAAACTAATCAAACGTGCATGCTCATTGATCAGTTGTGTATGTCCAATATGAATTACCCACAGAAGTCCATGGCTGGTGGTGGTTTAGGTCCTCACATGGTGAAGGCCAGGACTGAGGCCTTCACAAGGCAACATTACAGAGTGCAGGTGTCATTAGTGCATATGAAACATGTATCTGTTATTTCAAAAGGGAGACCAAAAATGGCTGCCACTTAAGCTGTGTGAAACACTATGGATCCTGTCGATCTTATGAAAAGGACCAATCACATGAAAGCGGCCACATTAGACCCTTTGTCCTACAGGAACAGATGTGGTGTGTCAGTATGCTAGTGCACTGCATGTTACAGGGCAGAAGATGTTGGAACACCAGGCCAATGATGTTTCAGACTCTCATACCAACCTTGTTACTGAAGCATTTCTCAGTGGGGAAGTCAGCACTGCTGGCGATCACCGTCTCACTAGGTAGGATGGCATAAGGCACGATGTGAACGGCTGGTGCCACTTCCAACTTGAAGGACA